AAACATGATCAATTGTTCTGTTAGCTTTTCTAAAGCCTATTTGATTTTTACATAGTATGTTGTTCTCAGTTACAAATACATCTAATCTGTTGCATAAGATCTTTACAAACAACTTACTTAGACAACTAGATATTGCTATACCTCTGTAGTTACTTGGATCTCTAACGTCTCCTGTTTTAAAAAGAGGTTTAATCATACTTTCTGTCCAACTACTAGGAAATAAAGTTGATTTCAAAATGATATTGAAAAGTTTGCAAATACAATTCAACATATTCACACTAGAATGTTTAAGCATCTCATTACTTATACAGTCAAAACCTACACTTGTGTTATTCTTTAAACTTTTTATAACTTTCAACACTTCCTGCATATTTATATCATAATCAAGTAAAACATTATACCTTGAAGGAAAATCATCCTGTTCATTACTACAATCTACATTTAAAAGTTTATCAAAATAATTATACCATTCATCAGAGGGAATATTGGAGCTCTGATCACTGATGTCCTTGTCAGAATATTTAAATTTATTAATAATATCCCAATAAGCCTTGGGATTTTTGTCTTCTAATTCCAGTAAGGAATCAAGCATCTTTGCTTTTTATTGTTGTGTTTTTTATGCACATAGACCAAGGTGAGCGACACAGGCTCTTTAGAGCCTCTAGTTTTAAAAACCTGGAAACATTTTACATCATTGCAGGGATCGCGAGTACTTGAACAATGTGTTAAGATAGTGTTGATCAATTTTGTAGGCGAAGCTAATTATTCTTTAAGATTGGGTTGTTTTCATACAAATAGATTGTTTTCATACAAAATGAAAATGTATGATAGAGTCAAATGATTTATTTACCGGTATTTGCCAATAAAAATCAGCATTTAAATAAATTGAACTTCTGTTGAAATAAATGGTTAGAAGGAGAACATTCTAGACTGATAGATACACCTGACTTCATAAATTAAATGAGACATCAGACAAGAAATCAAAAGTATCTGTAAGTCAAATCTGGATCTTCTACTTTAAAAGAAAAGTGTCAGTACAATAAGACAAGCACAAAATCAACCTCAGTATTGAAAAGTAGTGAATAAATTTAACAGTATGAAAGAGCCTGCAGTGTCGATCACCTGGATCTAATTCAATAACTCCTATAAGGAAACAACTGACAATGTAGGCTATGTTGGTCTATTGTTAGATCTTGTGTCTTGCTGATCATTTTTGCTATTTAAAGTTTATTCTAGTCTTCAAGATAATAGACAAAAACCCAAATATTGGTAAAAAGTCGTCATTAAAGGGCAACAACTCCTTTAAGGAGTCTCTCAATTTCACCATTTTTACTTACTTGTAGATCTTAATTGTCTTGCAGATAATTTTCACTTTATAGAGTTTCTCTCAATCTATTATTGTTTTCAAAATAATAGGCAAAAACGAAAGCAATATAAAAAATTGTTGTTTTAGGACAATAACTCCTATAAGGAGTTGTCTGATGCTTTCATTTTTGTCGAGCCTGCAACTTTTATGTTGCGAAAGTGAGACATAGTGATCTTAGATTTCGTCAGTGTTGTCACCATTTAGGTTCAGTCTGTGGTTAAAGTTTTTTTTATACATCAATTACTTGGTCAAACCTTCATGGAATTTTATGAAATTTGGACACATGCTTGTTTATGACCAAACGACAGTAATCAGAGCAAAAATTTCGAAAATATTTATTTTCATTTTTCTGTATTTTATTTATAAATGGACTTAGTTTTTTTTAGTTAACAAGTAGATACAGTCTGGGGTTAAAATTTGTTACACATCAATTACTTTGTCAAGCCTTCACAGAACTTTATGAAACTTTGGCAGAAGCTTTTTTATGATAAAGAGATAATGTCTGAAGCAAACTTTTTCATTTGTTTTTTCATTTTCAGTATTTTTCTGATAGATGGACTCACTTTTTTACTGTTAACATTTACAGACAGTCTGGGATTAAATTTTTTTTACATGATAAATTTGTTAACCTTCATGGATTGTTATGAAACTTGGACAGAAGCTAATCTTCATGACCAAGAAAAAGCATCTAAAGACAAACTTTTAAATATTGTATTTTGCTGATAAATTGACTCACGTTTTAAGTCAACATTACACTTTTACAACGACAACAGCAATTACAGGTGCGACACAGGGTTCTGCAGAACCCCCTATGATTTTTTGCTATTAAAAGTTTCTGTTTGCCATTAATGTTATAGTTTTCAAAATTATAAAATGAAAACATATTGGTAAAAATAGTCATTTAAGGACAACTACTCCTATTAATATTTGTCTATTTTAATGTTCAAGAGAACAGGCAAAAAAATGGTAAAATTCATCATTTAAGGGCAATAACTCCTATAAAAAGTCATATAACTGTCTTGATATAAGCGGACAGTAACAACTCAACATTCTGAATATTTTTGTTTGATTTTCCATATTTATAGAGGTTTTCAAGATAATAGACAAAACCAGCATTTTACCCCTATATTCTATGTTTAGCCATGTTGGCATGTTTGTCAACAGGCGGGCTCATTGGATACAATTTTTAAACTAGATACTTCAAGGATGATTTGTGATGAAGTTTGGTTCCAATTGGCCAAGTAGTTTCAGAGAAGATTTTTGTAAAAGTTAACAGACATTAACAGAAAACTGATGCAAAGTGATGAGAATAGAGCACTTGGCCCTACAAGAACTACAGATAACCTTACAAAATATAATAAAGTTATCCAACGACAGACAGAACATCAGTACTGTAGCAGTACCTGTCCTTGGTATAGGTATGTATGTTTACTACATATGAAACATTGATATTTAAAAATGCATGATTTGAAAAGAAAATATGGGAAATGCCTTTCACAAGTTGCTTTGACATAAATGTGTGCACACAACAACCACAAACCAGGCTGCATGTCCCTTTATTTTCGTAGTGTTGATGAATTCTAGCTGGGGTTGTTCCAAAATATATTGGATGGGGGATGAGAGGCACTCAATTTGATTAAATATAGATGGTTGCATTTTCCATAGAACTATGTAAGAATTATAAGTTAAATGATTTTTTTTTAAAATTTTATTGGTGTTTTGGGTCTTAAAAAAGTAGTGCCTCACATGTGTCTAATTCTGGAACAGCCCCTAGATATTTTGCAATATTTAAATTTATCTATTACTAAACAATCCTAAATACTAAATTTTCACCAAGTGTTATTAAAAGAAATTCTTTTCATACTTTTAAAGTAAAATATAATTATAAACTGTTAACACAGAGATATGTCTCGCCTATTTGTTATTTTGATAATGCAAAAGTTGAAATTAAAATAGCAATACTTTCATATGTAAGTAAGGCAAATACTCAAAGTCAATGAACCATGACTGAAGGTACAGGGCTAAAAAATCTCCATGGAAAAGAGATGTGCCAATGCTTATACAACTGCATACCTAATACCACTGAAATCTCATAAGTTGTTCCCTTTAAACAAACCTAAACACAAATTAACTTGTAAACTATGTAAAAGTTTCAAAGTCAATGAACCATAATGAGGATGTGGGGTTATATAATCTCCATGGAAATGAAACTTGTAAATGCCAATACATTTGCATACCAAATATCATTAACTTAACATTAGTGGTTCATCTTAAACTGACCTAATCACAAACTAATACATGTAATCTAAGCAAAAGTTTCAAAGTCAATAGACCATGACTGAGGGAACGGGGCCAAATAATCTCCATGGAAATGAGATATGCTAATGCTTATACAACTGCATACCAAATATCATTGACCTACTACTAGTGGTTCCCCATAAACTGACCTAATCACAAACTAATACATGTAAACTAAGCAAAAGTTTCAAAGTTAATAGACCATGACTGAGGGGACGGGGCCAAATAATCTCCATGGAAATGAGATATGCTAATGCTTATACAACTGCATACCAAATATCATTGACCTACCACTAGTGCTTCCCCATAAGCTGACCTAATCACAAACTAATACATGTAAACTAAGCAAAAGTTTCAAAGTCAATAGACCATGACTGAGGGGGAGGGGCGAAGTAATCTTCATTGTAATGAGATGTGCCAATGCTAATACAACTGCATACCAAATACCATTGACCTACCACTAGTGGTTCACCATACACTAGACCTTATCATAAACTAATACATTGTTGACCCAGCTGCTGCCGCCGGAAACAGCATACCTATGTCTTGCTTTTTGGCTCCGTCAAGGCGAGACAATAATATTACATTTTAACTTATTTGAAGGAATTCTTTTTCAATTGTGTGTTTTTATGTCCCCTGGCCGAAAGCCTAGTGAGCTTTTCTCATCTGTCGTCATCGTCTGTTAACTCTTACAAAAATCTTCTGCTCTGAAACTACTGGGCCAAATTTAACCAATCTTGACCACAATAATCACTTTGGTTTCTAGTTAAAAAATATAACTGATGACCCGGCCTACCAATTAAGATGGCAGACATGGCTTAAAATAAAACATAGGGGTAAAATGCAATAAAATCTGTTCAGAATGATGAGCTCTACTGATTGGCCAATCACGTTAAAACTGTCAGACAACTTCTTAGAGGAACTATTGCCCTTAAATGACAAAGGAGTAGGTCCGGTAAGGGCCGATTTTGGCCTCAAAATTCAAGTTCATCTGATGAAAGATTTTGGACACTTTTTAAACACTTAAGTGTCTACTTCAGTCGATTCAATCAGTTTATGTGAAAGAATTGAACTGATTTAGTCATTAAAGACGCTCAAATTCAAGCTTAAATATGAAAAATCTATCAAATATGCCATAATATGTCACTTTTCAGACGGTTTTTGTCAAAAATGAAAGTGGCAAAAATTATTATAGATACAGAGAAACTTTATTTAGCAAAAATGACCAGCAAGAATAGATCTTCAAATAAGTGAACATGACCAAAATCTTTAGACCTATTAAAGTTATTGCCCTTAGATGATGTTTTTTACCATTTTTTTGCGTTTTAGTTTCTAGTTTCATGACAATAACTTGTGTGTAAGTGTATGGATCGCTCTGACATTGTATCACAAGGTTCCATATCACAAAGGGAATGCTGGGATTGATTTTGGGGGTAATTGCCTTCAAATTTTAGGAAAAAGGGGCAAAAAAGGGGCAAAAAACAAGCATTTTTCTAGTTTCATGACAATAACTTGTGTGTAAGTGTATGGATTTTTATGAAATTGTACTACAAGGTTCCATATCACAAAGGGAAAGCTGGAATTGAGTTTGGGGGTAATTGCCTAAAAAGTTCAGGAATAAGGGGCCAAAAAGGGGCCAAAAATAAGCATTTTTCTAGTTTCCAGACAATAACTTGTGTGTAAGTGTATGGATCTCTCTGAAATTGTACTGCAAGGTACCATACCACAAAGGGAATGCTGGGATTGATTTTGGGGGTAATTGCTTCCAAATTTTAGGAATTTGGGGTCAAAAAGGGGCAAAATACAAGCATTTTTCTAGTTTCATGACAATAACTTGTGTGTAAGTGTATGGATCTTTATGAAATTGTACTACAAGGTTCCATATCACAAAGGAAAAGATGGAATTGAGTTTGGGGGTAATTGCCCAAAAAGTTTAGGAAAAAGGGGCCAAAAATAAGCATTTTTCTAGTTTCCAGACAATAACTTGTGTTCAGGTGTATGGATCTCTCTGAAATTGTACTGCAAGGTACCATACCACAAAAGGAAGGCTGGGATTGATTTTGGGGGTAATTCCCTCAAAATTTTAGGAATTAGGGGCCATAAAAGGGCCAAAAAACAAGCATTTTTCTAGTTTCAGGACAATAACTTGTGTGTAAGTGTATGGATCTGTATGAAATTGTACTGCAAGATTCCATATCACAAAGGAAAGCTGGGTTTGAGTTTGGGGGTAATTGCCCTAAACGTTTAGGAATTTGGGGCCAAAAAGGGGCCAAAAAACAAGCATTTTTCTAGTTTCATGACATTAACTTGTGTGTAATTGTATGGATCTTTATGAAATTGTACTACAAGGTTCCATATCACAAAGGGAAAGCTGGAATTGAGTTTGGGGGTAATTGCCCTAAACGTTTAGGAATTTGGGGCCAAAAAGGGGCCAAAAAACAAGCATTTTTCTAGTTTCATGACATTAACTTGTGTGTAAGTGTATGGATCTTTATGAAATTGTACTACAAGGTTTCATATCACAAAAGGAAAGCTGGAATTGAGTTTGGGGGTAATTGCCCTAAAAGTTTAGGAATAAGGGGCCAAAAAGGGGCCAAAAATAAGCATTTTTCTAGTTTCCAGACAATAACTTGTGTTCAGGTGTATGGATCTCTGAAATTGTACTGCAAGGTACCATACCACAAAGGGAAGGCTGGGATTGATTTTGGGGGTAATTCCCTCAAAATTTTAGGAATTAGGGGCCATAAAAGGGCCAAAAAACAAGCATTTTTCTAGTTTCAGGACAATAACGTGTGTTAGTGTATGGATCTGTATGAAATTGTACTGCAAGATTCCATATCACAAAGGGAAAGCTGGGTTTGAGTTTGGGGGTAATTGCCCTAAACGTTTAGGAATTTGGGGCCAAAAAGGGGCCAAAAAACAAGCATTTTTCTAGTTTCATGACATTAACTTGTGTGTAAGTGTATGGATCTTTATGAAATTGTACTACAAGGTTCCATATCACAAAGGGAAAGCTGGAATTGAGTTTGGGGGTAATTGCCCAAAAAGTTTAGGAATAAGGGCCCTTTAATGTTGATTTTTACCAATTTTTTGCTTTTTGGCTAAGATCTTAAAAATAGTATTGGATAGATAGACACTTTTTTACAAGCAAAAAATTTCGACAAGACAAGATCTCCAAATAAGTCAAACTTGGCAAAAATTCTTTAATCTACTTCTTATTAATGTTATTGATTTTTAATGACAATTTTCCCATTTTTGCCTTTTATCTTGAAAACTACAATATAAAGATAGAATCATTAAATGGCACAAATGATCAGCAGACAAGATTTACAAATAGGCCATCATGGCAGAAATTTTCAGTCGACTTGTTGTTTGAGTTATTGCCCTTAAATCATGTAAATGAAAATTTTCAACATTCTTTTTTTTTGCCTTTTTTTGTCTTAGATATCTTGAAAAACTATAATTGATAAATAAATACTTTAAAGAGAAAAAAATATCAGCATGATAAGATCTACAAATTTGTCAACATGACTGAAATTGTCAGTTAACTCTTAATAGAGTTATTTCCCTTTAATGATACGGACAGTGCAAGACCCTCATGAGTAGTCAATGTGTTAAAAGCCACTGTTGTCGTCTTTAATGATTATTTTTATTAAAAAGTAGTCATTGTTGAAGGTGCAGGTGAGCGACACAGGCTGAGATCTTTAGAGCCTCTAGTTTAGATTGAGGATATGATGCCATGGCCCTATTATGCTAAACTTTTCATGCCCTCTGTACAAAAGAGTTCAAAAATGGCAATACTATAAATATCATTATAGCAGTTGCTTCAATTATTGGGTTTACATAATATTAATTTTATCCAGTCTGTTTTAAACTAAATTATCTGATCTCTATATTTCTTCAGGTACTGATGGCCTTGAGACCCCATATGCAATCTTTTCATCAGTTCTTGCAGCTGAAATCATGAAAGCAACACTGTCATCATGGTTAAATTTCCAAGAGATCATTATTGTCACTAGTGAATGGGGAATGGCTTATGCAATAGCAGAGCAATTAGACAAAGAGCAAGGCTTAACTCAAGTTACATCTTTTCAAAGAAGTAGAAGGCGTCAAAATAAAGAATAGGAACAATAACAGATTACAGAATTATTTTACATCAAATGAGAAATTTATGTTTATATATGTTCCTGTTGTTATTTTCATTTTTAACTGCCGATGTAATTTTTTACGCATTATAAGTGCTAAATATTTAAAGTTGGATATAATAAGTGCTAACGTCACAGTTCCCAAATTGCACAGAGTACCAAAATTGCACTTATTTAGCAAAAATAGCAGCGAAAATCTTACAAGTTTTTTTAGGGACTAAACAATTTGTACTTTTTATTATTTGACATGATGCTCATCTTTCAAATAGGTTAATATATTTAAATATTCACAAAAGGTTCACAGTATTTATCAACAGATGAAGTACTCCCCAGAAAAAGTAAAAGCTACGGAAACGTCGCTATGCGACGTCCACAAAAAGTCATCTTGTAAAAATGAGCAAAAAAAAATATGTTACGAGCATCTATTTCTTAAAAAATGAATAGTAATCATGTCTAATTGTTCTAAATATTTGAAGAAATATAACAAAACATCTGTTATTTGATTTTTAAGGATGTGAATTTAAGCATGAATGCAATTTGGGTACTCCTCAATACAGAATTTCATGGATTGTTTGGAGGTTGGTTCAATCCCATTTTTCTATTTTATATGCCTTTTTGTGTTTCTTTGTTACATATTTGTTTGTTTTTATAGCGATTAAGATTATAACACAATGTTGACTGTTGTACCCCTATTTTGCCATTTTTACCTATTATGTCTGTTTGTTTTGTTCACACATCGTTGTCAAAATAATGGAATTGTATGCGACTGTCATACAAGTGAGAGGTTTAGCTATCTATAAAACCAGGTTTAATTCACCATTTTCTACTTAAGAAAATGCCTGTACCAAGTCAGGAATATGACAGTTGTTATCCATTCGTTTGATGTGTTTGAGCTTTTGATTTTTCCTTTTGATTAGGAACTTTCTGTTTTGAATTTTCCTCAGAGTTCGGTATTTTTGTGATATTACTTTTTTATACGCCCGTTTACGGGACGTATTATGGTACACCGTTGACCGTCTGTCCGTCTGTCCCTCGTCAACATGTCGGACATTAATTCAAAAATGCTTAAACCAATATGCATGAAACTTTGGTGAATTGTTTATATCTATTGATGTGAGCTCCCAATCGGTTTTTATAAATTTCAGATTTACCATTTCCGAGTTTTGGGGTTTTATTCATTAAAAAAGGGGGGATTTTCCAGTTTTCGGGCAATAACTCAAAAACAATTTCACCAATTTGCATGAAACTTTTGTGAATTATTCATATCTATTGACGTGAGCTCTCTTTTGTTTTTTTTATAAATTTAGGACTTACTGTTTCTGAGTTTTGGGGTTTTATTTATTAAAAAAGGGGGGATTTTCCAGTTTTCGGATAATAACTCAAAAATAAATTCACCAATTTGCAAGAAATTTTTGTGAATTGTTCATATCTATTGACGTGAGCTCCCTTTCGTTTTTTATATAAATTTCGGATTTACCGTTTCCGAGTTTTGAGGTTTTAATCATTAAAAAGGGGGGGATTTTCCAGTTTTCAGACAATAACTCAAAAACAATTTCACCAATTTGCAAGAAACTTTGGTGAATTGTTTATTTCTATCAACATGAGCTCCCTTTTGATTTTTATAAATATCAGACTATAAGTTTCCGATTTATGGGGCTTTATTCATTACAAAAAAGGGGGATTTTCCAGTTTTCCGACAATAACTAAAAAATTCTTTCAGCATTTTTTATGAAATTTTGGAAAATTGTTTATATCTATTTTTGTAAGCTCCCTTTTGATTTTTATAAATTTTAGATTTTATGTTTCCGAGTTATAAGATGTTTTTTGTTTATAGTCTGACAACAGATTTACTAAGTATTACGCAACAGCACAGTGTATTGCCCAACAGCAAGAATCTTTCATATAACCAATTTCAAGTTCTTTGACTACATTTATTCAGAAACCTATAATATATCAAATATTTAATTACAATCCAAATTCAGACCTGTATCAAGCTTGAATATTGTGTCCATTTTTGCCCCAACTGTTCAGGGTTGGACCTCTGCGGGCGTATCCAGCAGCGCTCAGCGAAGCAGTTTATTCAATATGGATGCAAAATTTTATTGGTGGAACTATATAGTAAATAAATAAATGTAGGTGAAAAACTGTCAAAGTAGTTGCAATTTTGGTACCCAGGGTTCTCACTAAGGATTTTTGAAGGCGAGTCCAGGGACTCGTCATTTTTGGCCATGGTGAGTCCAACAGTAAGATGAAGATATTCTTTTGCAATATAATTTATCATTTTAGTTTCCATGACCTAATAGAGCAATGAAATGACATTAAATTTAGATTTCTTTTAAAATTTTGCTATAAAATGATGATATATGTGTTCAGTTTATACAAAATATTTCAATTTTGATGCATCTTTGGACTCACCAGTTTTGTGAATGGTGAGTCCAGACAGATTTTCATGAGTTTAGGACTCATGGACTCGCCTTAGTTAGAACCCTGGGTACCCTCACGTTAAATATATAAAGTTGGATATAATAAGTTCTAAAGTGGTGTGCTATAACAAGGATGTATTTGAATCTAGCATAAATTTGAATTCTAAAAAATTGATAGTAATGTATGACGAAAACCAACCCAACTAAATAGGGTTAGCCATACATGCATGACTTAGTGTGTTAGTTAGTTCATACTAAATTATCAATTATTATTATAAAGTTGGGTCAGTTTTCATCATACACTTCTTATCAATTTTCCAGAATTCAAAATTATTGCAGATTCAAATAATTTCTTTTTTATATATTAAAAGTGGGAGCTAGATTATAAAGAAGTGCTTAATATTTTTAGTTGGAATATGGAAGAGATAAATGTTTTCAGTTGGAAATTCATAAGTGTTTATATTTTAGAGTGAACAGAAATCTGAGAATTGGTTAGGGAATATCTTGTTCTACCTCATTTCCCATCTGCATCAAACTCCTTTTACAAGTTTTTGATCTATAATGAGGATTTTCTTTTATCTCAAATACTATAACAGATAGGTAGAAAATGTGAACAGAAAATATGACCAGTAATACAAGATATGTGTTTGATTGGTGAGGATTTCAGGCATTTAGAATCCTCTTCTGTTACATCAAAATGTAAATTAGTTTTTGTCTTCAACTTCAACTGTTTTCTGCTCTTTGGTCAGCTTGTCTCTTTGACACATTCCCTGCTTCCATTCTCAATTTTACTATCAAACTATTATATTTGAAATGCTTTTGAATTACTATAAAATTTCTTGACAATTTCAAATTATAGATAAAAAGACAATGTACTTTAAAATATATGAATATTTGATATAACTTTATTAGAATATGTAAAATATTCTAATTGTACATGTACAAGATATATTGTATACAGATTTGCATTCATTATTTTAAAATTGTAGTCAAATAGCTTGAATAAAGCTTAGTTTAAAATTTTATCTTGCATACTGTTGAACAGAAAAAGTTGAAAAGTGGCAGGTCCTCTTCTAACTTAATATAAATAATTTGAAAAGATTTTATGTGTATTTCAAAAGGACATTGTCACTAGTGGCAAAAGATAGTTTTAATTTGGAGGAGATTTTATTTTTAGTTTTCATTGTGTGCAGTTTTAAAATAAAATGTCATTCATATCATTACTGTTGTATCTGTTTTTTTCACCATGTACTGTAACATAAAATAATCCCCCCCCCCCGCGTGAAATATTGTCCGTCAGACAAAAAATTTCATAATGAAATACCGTCTAGGACAATATTTCATTATGAAATAATGTCCTTGTTCATGAAATCTTGTCATCTCCTTCTGGACAATATTTCATTATGAAATACTGTCCATGACAATATTTCACTATTAAATACTGTCAATGACAATATTTCACTATGAAATACTGTCCATGACAATATTTAACTGTG